TGCCACTCACCTGGTGACCAATGACCTGAGCATCCCAGCCACTCAGCAGCCACTGAACACACATGGAGACTAGTGAGAGCACTCCCTGCACCTGCCCCCAGGTGTCTGGCAAGACAGACTCACCACCCCCATCAGCTATACCCTCGGTCACCCAGCTAGACAGTTAGAGACCCCCACCACACCCTGCTGCCATCCCATCCACTCTGAAACAGCTTCAGTATCATCAGACTAGTTACCAGAGTGGCACACTTGCCCTACCTAATTAGACATATCAAAACAAAAAATCGGGCCCTGGTAAACAAAAGGTGCATATATTAAAACAGTGCCACAGAGATAAACAGAAAGTATTAAATCGCATAAACAAGCAGAACAAATGGCTCCAGCAACTGACCAAAATGAATTCTGTGATAAGTTCTTCACGAGATCAAGAAAACACGAACTGAAAAATGCAGTAAAAGAATGCAGGGGAAGACTGCCAGACAGTTACAAATACCGTATATACTCGCAGATAAGCCAGCCCAAGTGTCAGCCGAGACACCTGATGTGCTGAAAACTTGGCTTGTACACAACTATATACGGTAAACTAAAACTACACCTAGAAGTCCAAAAGAGCAAATTTCTAAAGGAAATAAATATGGGGCCGTAAGGAGCAGAGTTGAAATAGTGGAAGAATCAGCAAAGCAGGACAAATCCTTTGACAATAATTTGAGGAAAAGTTAGGAAAAAAAGGAAGAACAAAGAAAAAATCCTAAATCTTAAGCAGTATGCTACCAAAAGGGAAATTTAACGTGAATGGTATTCCAGAACAGGAGGTAGCAAAATAATAACAATTCTCAAAGATCTCCTGACAGAAAACTTCCCTAATCTCATGAAAGACTGGAAGATATCCAAGAAGCTCACTAAACCCCATTCAAGAGAATCCTCAAAAGAGTCACCAAGCCATACCCTTATCAAACTTAATGAAAACAAAACAATCCCGAAGTTGCTTGGGGAAAAGTCAACAGTCACTGTCAAAAGTGAACCAAGAAGACTGATTACTCAGCAGAAATTACGCGGGCAAGAAGGCTGTGGGATGCCTTATATAAAACTAAGGGGAAATCATTGGTCTCAAAGACTGGGCTTTCTACTCACGGAAACAGTTAACAGTCTCAAAACCACAGGGGTTCACCATGAGTCCACATTTACTCAATGGCAGTGAGTTTGGTTTTTGGGGAGACTCATTTAGCAAAACTATCTTTCAAATACAGTAGTGACTAGGACAGGCAGTAAGGACGAGAATTTGTCAAACACCACATCAACTTTACAAGAAATATAATAGTCTTTTGGACAGAGAACCAACATCAGACAGCCACTTAACATTAATACACATGACAGCATCACTCAGATTCCAAAAGCGGAAATGGGAACCAGAGATGTCAATCTGTAAAGGATGACAGCTTCAAAACAGAAAGGGGGAGTGAATGGTGTAGTTATAGAGAGAAGACGCGATATAAAGGTATATCGGACTTAAGTTTCAGGAGGTAATGGTAAATTTCAGTGTAACCACGAAGAATATATCAATATCAATAAGGTTCAGTCGACAGAAAACTTAGAAGAATAAAAAAATTGACAAAACTAACACAAAATTAAGCACATGAAGGAAAACGTAAACACCGCAAAACACATACAAAATGAAAACAGTAAACTCATACCTATTTATAATCACATTGAATGTAAATACACCTGGAGACTGTTCAATAAATTATAAACGTATAGCCCATCAATATGCTGTCTACAAAAGACACACTTTAGACACAAAGACATAAATAAACTAAAAGAGGATGGGAAAGATTTATCAAGTGAAAAAAAAAAACCAAAAAAGTGCAGGAATGGCAATATTCATCTCTGATAAAAGGGAATTTAAGGCAAAACTCCCCATGAAAGATAATGAAGGACCTTACAGAATGATGAAAGAGTAAATTCACCACAAGGGGGCATAACCATAATAAATAAGAGGCTTCAAAAAGTTCATGGAAAAAA